TGAATAGCTTGGGGGCCTTTTTGAATTCATATGATACTATAAATCAATGTACTAGTATGAAAGTCAGCTCATATCGTGGTCATGTTGGATGTCTAGCCGAGGCAGCTTTTTGAACCGAATCATACTATTATGACTTGGCTGATCAGGAAAGCTATAATAAAGCCATGCCACCCTCAACCAGCGAGGGTTCAGAGATCCAGAAGGTAACGACTATTCATCAATCCTACTCGGCTTAACTTGATCTTGAAGGTCAGTGATAAGATGGACTAACGTTTTCAATGAATATTTATCGTCTCATCGCTATGCCCTTGCTTTCTAGTTCATTAAGCACCCTCCTCGGATCGTTTCAAATGACAACAGTCTAGGAAATCATAGTCGATTGCTCCTCACTCATAGCGAGCTCTAGGTGGAAGGATACCCAGTATTCCTGTACTGTATAGTTGTAAGTGGACAGATTGTGTGACACCTATATGAATAGCTGTATCTGATAGTGAGGCTGGCAGCATAGCTGCATGGATGCCCAAGGAATCATTCTACTCTAGAAAACCCCGCCCTCAGCCCAGTAGTTTCCCTATTCTTTCAGCTGTTTCACCTGCACCTTCCTCCACGATCGATTAAACATTTTGAACCAGGCTGCACCTTCGAGAATGGGCGAGGTCTTGCTGTACCATCCGGGAAATGAAATATCGATTGATGCCGAGTAAGTCATGTGAAAACTAACACAATGCAAACAAGATGGTCCTTCTCTATGGAGAAGGCTGGGATATCATGGCATCAGAAGACAACAAGATTATCCAAGATACACACATTTTGCGCTCTTTTCAAGGATAATGAGACAGCATATGAGTCAGAACTAATATACTCAATAGCATTGTTTTTGTTCACGGTCTCAACGGCCATCACTTCGAAACGTGGTCTAGCAAAAGTGAGAAATCCATCGCATGTTTTGGATCAGGCTGACAGTCAAAAAGAGGATAAAAAGTTCACTTGGCCGCGTGAATTACTACCACAAGATGTTGACTCCGCACGAATCTTTACCTGGGGTTATGATTTGAAAGTTGCCAAGCTACATGGATATCCAAGCCAGGAAGGCATATTTGGCCATAGCGAGAATCTTCTTAGTGACCTTGTCCGCCTGCGATCTGAAGCACAAGCGGTCAGTCGAGTCATTGATGTCCCAGTCATTCTTCGTTGCTTCTTTCTCACTAGCAAAACTCCACTCATGAACGAACACTAATAGTATACTTAGAATGGGCGGCCGATGATTTTTATTGGGCACAGCATGGGTGGCCTCATCATTAAACAAGTGTGTCAACTTAAGACAATCCCACATTTGTCCCCATGCTCACCACTTCAGGCTCTCATCCGCTCGCAACAATACTGGTATAGTATCCAGGACCGGGAAAGAGGCAGGATCTATCAGTCCACAAGAGGGGTGGTAAGTGACCCCTTAATAAAATATCGAAAGGGGCTCTAAGACACATAAGATATTCCTTGGAACACCCCACGATGGCAGTAGTAAAACCTGGATTGCCCACTTTCTCGCTGGGGTAGTCAAGGTTGGACTAAAGAAGCCGAATGAAAACAATATAGAGACGCTGGAAAGAGAATCTCAGATTTTGCACCAACAGGCTGCCGCCTTCGCGTCGATCAGCAAAAACATCCCTCTGGCTTGTTTTGCGGAAGAGGCGCCTACCGGAGCCGGGCTCGTATGTTAACAGTCTCAATTGGGATCGGTGTCTGACTCTGATGTAGATTGTTTCGAAATCGTCGGCCATACTATATGGCTCGAACGTTAGAATTGGAAGTATACCTGAGAATCACATGGACATGTGTCGATTTGCCACTCGATATGACATAGGATATAAACGTATTGTGCAGGAGATCAAGACATTCATTCGCCAAGCAAAGATGACGATTGATGAAGGTATAGCTAAGTTGTCTTTCGACCTTTGGGGCCAAATTTGCTGACGACTTCATGCGCATCAGGAATGATAGACGGTACGTTAGAGCCTCCTGTAATAGATGAGCAATTATCCATCATGAACGTGATTGTATCTCTCGGATTTGATGATGGTCGATGCCTAAAAATATGAGCTAATCGAAACGAAGATATACTGTCGTCTTTGGCTTTTCCTGAGATGGTTTATCGCGAAAATGACCTTGACGATCCATGGGCTAGAACGTTTGAATGGCTAGTCCCAGACCACACCCGCAAATCGGAAGATGGTGATGAAGAGGAGGACCAAAGCATCAAGTGTCAGAAAACATATCTCGACTGGCTGGAACAGTCATCGTCGCAGCCCTTCTGGATATACGGCAAGCCAGGATCTGGGAAATCGACGTTGATGAAACGCCTGTTCCACTTACCTCGACTTCGGGAACAGGTCAAACAGTGGGCAGGAATACGTCCCGTGGCCTTTGCTGCGTTCTACTTTTTTGATCGAGGGGAATCTGCGCTTCAGAAAACACAAGAGGGCCTACTCCGAGCGCTGCTCTACCAGCTCATTTCTCAGTATCGATCTCTTGCACAGCTACTGAAAGACATCCTACCCAGCGACTGTTTCCCTCTGGACAAGAAAACTTTGACATGGAATCTGAGGCAACTTCATCTCGCCTTAGAAAGGGTCATGGATCAACATCAATTACCAGAGAAAATAGCATTCTGCTTATTTCTAGATGGACTAGATGAGTTCGGGACTGTGGATACCCTAGTATCAACTACTCCTATGGCGCAGATGACGAAGTTCGAAAAGAACAAACTGCACCAAGCCAGGAAGAAAGGCTACAAGGATATTCTCAAACTAGTACTAAAGCTAGCCGCCTCATCACATGTCAAGATATGCGTATCGAGTCGAGACATAAACGAGTTCTCATCAGTCTCTGCCTCATATCCGCTTCTTAGGCTAGAGGAGTTGACACGTCCTGATATCAGGAAGTATGTCACGGAGAATCTAAACAAGAACCCAGGCTGGCGTCAAGCATCTTCTGGCGCTTCCGATGAGATGTCTCAAAAAATTGAAGTCATCCTTGACAAAGCTCGTGGAGTCTTTTTGTGGGTGAAACTCGTGGTGGAACAAGTCGTTGATGCGTTTGACGAAGGAGCATACATAAGCGAGGTTACATCTCTTATTGATAGCATGCCTGACGACCTACACGAGCTCTACGCAAGAATGTTGAGCAATATCAAGGACGAATTACAACCACAGAGCGCGCTGCTCTTCGCACTTGTCTTTGCCGGAGAGGTCCGGGGGCATATTTCAGCTATCACACTACATTACGCCGAGACTTCAACAACTCAACAGATAGTTTCCGGGAATGCAAGCCAAGTCCTCGGAGCCGAGGAAGCCCAGGGAATAGTTGATCGAATGCGGGCTAGGCTCAAAACTCGCTGCGCCGGCCTGCTTGAGATTCCGCATATCGCATCGACAGGGGATAGTATATCCGATAATCTGTTCCATCCCATAGACTGCCCGGTACAGCTCATGCACCAGACGGTGAAAGATTTTATAGATGAGAAAGGAGGACTATCAGGACTCTTCGCTGCCACAAACACCTACAGCATAACTGAGACGGCACTCCGACTCCTGAGGGCATCGATTCTAGGGCTTCGGCATTTGTCAAAACTTCTCGACGAGGTGCAAATTGACGACCATAAGCCAGGGCAGTTTGAAGCCCTCATATTCAATTGGAGTTTTATCTACAATTCCATTTATTACGCGAGGCTACTAGATGAGAACGACGATGACGCGGAAGAGGTCGAAATTTTATTAGATAACCTGGACATTATCGCTACTTCGGTACTTGGAACTCCTCGTGTGGGAGATATGCCCCATCACTGGAGGGACAGCGAGCCACAGGAAAGTGGAGGCTATGACTATAACTCTTATGGCAATTTTCTGTCCTTCGTTATTCAAGCAAACTTGGAGAGCTATGTCATCCGCAAGCTACGGCATGGTCTTGCACCGAAGCAAGGTAAACCGTTGTTGGAATATGCCCTCGCCACTAAGATTGCGGATCATCCAATGGAAATGTATGGCATGGCAAATCTAATGATTGGCTTCAGTCCTTCCAGTCCACAATTAGTGCGGTGTCTTTTGAATCTTGGCGCTAATGTCAATGAGATGTGGTTCAGTAAAGCCGGTTATGGAGCCACGGTTTGGGAGAGTGTATTAGCAGGCACATTGAGATTCAATCATGACTGGTTACCAGCACCGCGAACAAGCCGGGATCAGAGACGGTGGCTTGATAATATGAAACTTCTCATTGGCGCCGGAGCCGATGTGGATTGCCAATTCGATTTATCGCGGTATGGATCTCGGTGGAAGAAACCAGATCAGAAGCCAAGATCCGTTCTGGATTGTGTGCGAATAGGGCTGGAGCAGTGGCCACACGAGCGGGACGAGATAGTTGAGATGCTGCGGCAGAGAGGAGCAGTTGAATACGCAGAAAAAGCTGAAACCAGGGAGCCAGCTAGCCGAAGGAGAAGCTGTTCATCGTGAGTTCAGATACTACATACCACATACCACAGAAATACCTCTGGCTGTTTTAGTGCTCTGAGAAACCAAGAGAACTGAGATCTGTCTGTCTCGTGGGGAAGCTTATTGTGTTTTTCGCTTGTGCCTGTACACTGCTTATGAAAATACTGTGTATTATAATATTCGATATGAGTGGCCGTCAAATGAATATCACTACTTCGAATCTGGAACATAGCTGTCAATATTGTCGTAGCAGGAAGTCATGAGAAATTACACAAGTCTGAGATACATGCGATGTATCTCCATTGAGGTTGCATCCCCAGTTCATGTTCAGCCCTACGAGACAAGAAATCAGGGAGGCTTAAAAGGCGACGTTAGTCAGATACCCACCCTACCCGCGAGCTTTCCAGTGCATAGTAAGTATCCTGGTATCAACATTAATTGCCTCCAGCCGTTAGATGACATTCTCTCCCAAAGAAGCGCGTCCCTATTGAGGACTTGTCCATATTAAATGCCCATCATATGGAGCAATCCCCCCTCACCCAGCAGCCTCGACCCGAGGCCTTTCAGCAGAAGATTGTTCAGCTGTACGACGAGCTATTCAAGGTTTGATTGCCTCCATTTCCTACCGTTCGCGCCTGTTGTCGCGTGCAATCGCCGAACCGAGCTGACGTGGCTTTCTCTTTGAAGGTTTGCTTCTTCTTTAGATCCCGCCGATACAGGACGCGACTGCTAATGCGCCATGCGACACACTTAGGAAGAGGACGATGGCGACAAGTCAGAGGGCTTCTGGAAGGAGTTCTTCCTGCTCAAACCCGACAAATTCTCGTTGCGACACATCCTAGACGAACTCAGCCCTGGCGATTTGCTCCAGCTCGAGCTGCAATGTCACGAGCTATTCACAAGATCCATACAGGCCCTCAAGGGGACACAAGGAGCTGCCGACCTGCATGCACTTGACGTACGCCTCAAACAAGGCCTTGGATACCGAGACAGAAGCTGATGCCTGCCTACAGACCCTGAGCACGTTCCTCTCCGCTGTCCTCGCCAAGAAGTACATGAACCCTAGCTCCGACATCATAAACGTTCTAGCCGGCCTCGACCATATCGATACCGTGTTTACGGACTTTGCGGGGGCGCTGGACTGGATACTGCGGAATGGCAGGAGTAGTATGTTAAGAGATGCCCGTCGAAGATGATGCGCAAGGCTGACCGAACGGGGTAGTGGACGTTCGCCAGAAGGCTGTCGAGGTGGCACTGGCCGTCACATCCGGGGCATACCAGACGAGCTTGCTCACCTACTTCATACAACGAGACTTGTTCCCGGCAATCATGAAGGTTTGCAGGACGATGCCACAGTTATGTTTCTTGGCTGACCTTCTCAGTTCATACAAGAATGCGACACTCCCGCGAGGATATTCGAACCATTTACCCTCCTTGGACTGCTTACCAACTACAATAAGTTCGAGTTCCAAAACCCTTATCAATTACGATTGAACGATTTTGTCAACGAGGCTACGATACAAAGGATCATCAAGAGCGTGGGGTATGCCTCTCAAAGGTTAAGGGGCCAATATATCGATATTCTGGAGGATCTGCCGGAGGGCTGGACCTTAAGCAGCACACTTAATATGATTGGACTTGGGGCGATCGTGCCGGGACCGAAGCCGGAGAAGAAGCCAGTATACGATTCCGAGACACAGAAGAAGATGTTTGCAGAATTGTAAGTCATGAGTCCTCCCCTTCAAAGGGCGTCATCTTATACGATACAGACCCGGGCTTGATGCTGCCGTTTTGCTGGCCACATATGACTTCGCGCATGCCAACAAGTTGTTCTGCTTCAACTTCGTTACACTGGCCCCTGAAAAGGGAGAAGAGCAATCCTTTGCAGCGTTTATCTCGTTGACTTCATATCTCTTGACACACGCCCATCTCTCGCAACGGACAACAACCTACAGTCATCTGAGTCTGATGATTTTCCGACTTCTGATTGAGGACCCTGTTCTCTGCAAACGCATGTGCAGCGATGAAGGCAAGGTGGCAGTCCGTCTCTGCCGACAGCGTTCACCATACTTGCCTCTTGTGAGAAATGAACGGACCATTGCAACGGCTGTTCTGGATACGATGATTGACGGCATTAACCATAACCTTCGGCGGCGACTGGATGTCGGACTGTACACTCTCTGCGTTGGCATTCTCCTCCGCATCATCTCCTACATGTCGAGGTCGCGGACACGCCTGCATTATCACTGGAACGAGCTTTTCCGGTCATTGCTGTCACTTATCCGCTTCCTGACCACATACGCATCTGATCTCAAGGACCTCTCGCATATCGAAACGCTTCTGGACCATGTGGTGAATTTGCTTGCACTAGGTTTGTCAGCAGGAGAAGCGTTCTTACCCACACCGGCAGCATACGACGACCTTTTCTACAAGGTGGTCGAGTCTGGTGATATCTTGACGAAGTTCCGGGACACGTATGGTTTAGTAAACAGGCCAAGCAATAGTATCGAAACTCTCATTAACGTGAGCACGCATTACAAGAACTTACTGGCCGACGGCACACATGGCAAAGGAGGCAAGGGAAGCCGCATCGGTGGGGGAGCTGTCCTCACAAGCCTGCAGGTCGCGGAGGTGATCAAGCAGGGATATGAGACGCTAAGTATCCAGGCCAAGGAGGGTCTGGATTCGTGGGAAAAGTACAGAGAAGCTGACGAGCGGACGCTGCTGAAGAAGGTGGCTAGAGTAGCTGTGGCCGATGTAAGACTGCTCGTGGGAGAATAACGGCCCATGTTGGGTTCTCCATACAGGTTTAGAGGGCATTCCGAGCATGATACCCATGCAGATTCCTGATGTTGCCTTCGGGGACTTTTCATTGTAAAAAGGCGTTGGACGATTTAGAATGGAAAAGGAACTTCTGTAAAGATAAAGACAATTAATTTGATCTGATAACAAGCAGCATTCTTTGTAAAGCGAATTCACTTCAATTGACACTTGGTTGGCTGTGGCAGGAGTTTTGCCATGGCTGACAATGTGGAGACGCTGATTGGCTCGGAAAACACCGGTAACCGGTGCGGACCATCATGTCATCAGCCGAGCTTCAATTGCCTTTGAAATCAAGCAAACACCACAAACAAGCGGCTCCAACCAACCTCAACCTCATCAACTTCACCCTCGTCGCAAGGCACAACAACAACCCTCACTACGTCCCTCGACTAGCTTGTGCAAGCCTCTTTATCACACACATAATGAATGCGCCACTAATAGCAGCTCGGAGGACTACCTCCTCTATCTGCCTCTCTTGCCGCCGGAACCTGCTGCGCCAATTCTCCTCGTCGCCAGCATTCGCCTTCCCCGAGTTCCAGTCCTACCGCCTCAACCCCCACCCGCCCTCAACGCCACGCAATGCCGGCGTGCCAGATACATCGATAACACATCCCATCGAGCCGCCGATGCCGCGGGTCCACGAGACGAGGCCACCGAAGACGCCGCGGGATACAGACCTGAGTGCGGCAAGCAAGAAGACCTCAGTCCCGGAGCGCGAGGCGCAAAAGTCGCAGCAAGCTTTCGCAAACGCCCCCAGCACAGAGAAGAAGGCCGCTACGACCTCTACCTCGACGGCGACGTCGGAGACACCACAAGCGACGCCGGCACCAAAGGCCAAGCCCCGCTCGAAGCTGCGCGCCCCGCGCAAGGCGGCGATGAAGCTCACACCCTCGGCGGTAGACCATCTGCGGGCGCTGCTCGACCAGCCGGACCCGAAGCTGATCAAGGTTGGGGTGCGGAACCGCGGGTGCAGCGGGCTGGCGTATCACCTCGAGTACGTGGACAAGGCGGGGGCGTTTGATGAGACGGTCGAGCAGGACGGCGTCAAGGTGCTGATCGACAGCAAGGCGCTGTTCAGCATCATTGGGAGCGAGATGGACTGGGTCGAGGATAAGCTGAACCAGCGGTTTGTGTTCCGGAATCCAAATATCAGTGAGTACCTTCCTGTCTGACAGACATTGTGAGAGGCTGGTGGCTAATGTGTCTATCTCTACAGAGGAACAGTGCGGCTGTGGCGAGTCATTCATGGTATGAAAACTCGATAGGAATGAAACGAGATAGGACTCTAGTAGACCGGGTCACGCAAGGTTGTCGAACAGAACAGTACGCAAGCATATGCAACTTCGGCTACCAGCATTGGGAACCGGGACCATGGAACGGCGTTCTAGAATGCTTTCGTCTCGGAAGCATGCAGCGGCTATTGCTGCTAGCGATTATACATGTCACAAATAGCTGTATAGACCTCAACTTAGTAACTTAGTGAAGAGTTTGATGGTATCGAACAAATGGAGTGTTTCCACTGCTTCTCGTCTCCAGTCTACGAATGGTGTTAATTGACCGGACCCCGAGCTCGATGCCCGTCCTTCTCCTGCAACTTGATGTCTTTGTTTTGTGATGTCATCAAGAAGATTGACGAAGGCAAATCATGCCTTTGTAGTATTGGCCTGGTAAATCACACTCGGCATTTCGAGGTCTCACCAGAACAATAAATAGCCTGTCAAAAGCCTGTCCCAGGATTTTGGCTCCCGTCCCGCGTGGCAGGGGGCCCTATTGTTGCCCCACGCCCTACCTGCCCGGGTCTTTGGTGGCGGTCTCCAGGCCAAATTTTAGCGTGCAACAGCGCGTCATCTTGCCATTAAACTTCCGACTGAGTAAGGACGCGTCTCTCGAAATTGTGTCAATCAGCAGCGTGTATGGTTTTTGACAACGCTGCCACACCACCAACCAGGACATCGCAAAGCGTGCCGGATACTCGCTATCAGCTCGCTTCAGGATGGTCGTGTGTCCGATATGTGAGCGTCCGGTCAAGACCTCCGAGATCAACAGCCACATCGACTCGGGATGCGAGACCTTCCTCCTCGAGAACGGCGAAGCTGCCACGGCGGCAACGCCCGCGAATGGAACGGCGAATGGGCGGATCCCTTCTCCTACACAGACACAAAATGGAACGCAATCATCACAGAAAAGAAGCGCTGCTTCCACCTTCTTTCAGACTCCCGCAGCGAAGAGACAGGCCACCAACTCAAAGCCTTTGACACCAGTGGTGAACGGCGCTGCCAATGGGACAACGGCAAAGGTCAATGGTATCAAGAGGTCGTTCGACGAAGGACCTGGTGAAAGCTCTCCGCTGCAGGCTCCCGAGTCGAAGACGGACACGCCTATGGCTGAGGCTGGACCAATAGTGAAAAGGACCAAGACGAACCGAGCTGCACCTCTCGCCGAGCGAATGCGACCGAGCAAGTTCGACGACGTGTTTGGGCAAGATCTCGTGGGACCGAACGGTGTTCTGCGTGCCTTGATAGAGTCGGACAGAGTTCCGTCGATGATATTATGGGGAGGCTCAGGCACGGGAAAGACAACGATCGCAAGATGTATAGCACACATGGTAGGCAGCCGCTTCATCGAGCTGAACGCAACCTCGACTGGCGTGGCGGAGTGCAAGAAGCTGTTCCAGGCGGCGGCGAACGAGCAACAGTTGACGGGGAAGAAGACAATAATTTTCTGCGACGAGATTCATCGTTTCAGCAAGTCGCAACAGGATGTCTTTCTGGGACCGGTCGAGTCTGGCACAATTACTCTCATCGGCGCCACAACAGAGAATCCGTCATTCAAGGTCCAGGCGGCATTGCTATCGCGATGTCGGACGTTTACGTTACAGAAACTGTCGACGGAGAACATCCAGCACATTCTGTTCCGTGCTCTGAAGGAAGAATACGAGGCGAATCCTTCAGAGCCCCTTTCCCCCTTAATTGACGAAGAACTCCTCACCTACCTATCCGCATTCGCAGATGGCGATGCCAGGACAGCTCTGAATCTGCTGGAACTCGCCCTATCACTGAGCAAGAAAGTCTCGGCGGATCCCGCGAAGCCCTTAACAAAAGAAGACATAAAAGCCGCGCTGACCAAGACACTTGTCTACGACCGTGCTGGCGATCAACACTACGATACCATTTCCGCCTTCCACAAGTCTGTACGCGGCTCCGACCCGGATGCTGCACTATACTATCTCGCGCGCATGCTACAGTCTGGTGAAGACCCGCTCTTCATCGCTCGGCGCATGGTCGTCATCGCATCTGAAGACGTGGGCCTAGCGGACAACACACTCCTACCTCTAGCTACGGCTACCTACACAGCAACGTCGCAGATCGGCATGCCGGAAGCCAGGATACCGCTGGCGCACTGCGCAGTGGCGCTGAGCATGGCGCCGAAGAGCACACGGACGTACAGAGGACTAAACAATGCGTATGCGGCGCTGCGGGAGCCGGGCGTGGCAGGCTTGCCGATCCCCATACACCTGAGGAACGCGCCGACGAGGCTGATGAGAGAGATGGGCTACGGGGCGGAATATAAGTATAACCCGAACTATAAGGATGGGCGGGTGAAGCAAGACTATCTGCCTGATGAGCTGCTCGGACGCAGGTTCTTGGAGGACAGAGACTTGGGTACGGAGATCGATCCGGACTTGGAAATGGAAGGATAGATGTTTATGTGTATGTGTATAGTCATTACAGCCCGAGTGCTCCATTCCGCTAGGTGCTTAGCAGTAGTGCTGCCTTGTGGCAGTCCGTATCTGCAAACTCACTTCGTGTTAGTGCTAGAAGCCTTGACCTTTAGGACAAAGAAACCAAGCGAAACACAAGCCAATATATTTCCGATCATCTCTGTCAATAGTTGACGTGAACACAGTGTTATAAAAGACAAAGGCTTTCAACGCAACCTTTGCACGGCTGTTGCCGAATATACGCAAAGCAATATGTACTGTTGGGAAGCCTGGCCTGCTTCTGTGACACAGCCCCGGAGCCTTGATTTTGCACCCTTAGCTATCTTTGCCATCGACTAAAGAGTGCTCTGTGTCGCCGTTGATGCGACACCGAAGACGAAATGTCTTCAACTTATACCTATCAGCCGCTAATCAACTCCCAAACACAAATCCGCCTGCTCAAGCTGGATCATCCACCCACAGCGCTCGAAAACACTCGCGACAAGGCTACAGCTCGCCACGCAATATCTAGCTCACTCAGCCACGTCTCTCTTGATGTGCATCCTTCCTATAAGGCACTCTCGTACGCCTGGGGCGCGCTGGTGTCCCCCAAGGTTCCCATTTTGATTGATGGCAATGCCGTAATGATCACACAGAACCTTTATGAGGCACTAGAGTGGTTCCAAACGCTTTCCACTTGCCCCGACACCTGGGTTGATGCCGTGTGCATCAACCAAGCCGACGACGAGGAAAAGCGCACGCAGGTACCCTTGATGCATCGCATCTATGGGCAGGCAGAAGAGGTTCTCATTTGGCTTGGGCCTGCGGCAGATAAAGTGCCGAGGTGATATCACTTCTCCTCGGATGGGCATCCCAATATGCAGCTTTCCTCGAAGAACAAGGCGATGATGGCGTCTATCCTCATACGCCGCTCCGAGCGCTTATGGCAAGAATCACCAATGATTTCCCGGTAGCATCATGGATTCAGCCAGTTGCAAGGCTCTTTGCGAGACCGTGGTGGTGTCGAGTTTGGGTGATGCAGGAGCTCATCCTTGCAAAGAGGGCCACTGTACACTGTGGCGACGTCGCGATTGACTGGGCCGATATAGAGCGTATTATAGAGATGTTTTCCTATCCGGATGCTTACATCGGACTGGAAATCACGAAACTCGCGCATCAGATCACTCAACGGGCACATTTGAGGAGGCTGCGTCTCGACTATCTCGGTCGTTATCGAGAATGGGTACCCGGTCTTGGCTGGGAGGAGTTGCTCGGCATCACTTGCGAATGGCCATTTATGCCTGAGGCGACGGACGAGCGCGATCGTGTTTACGGTCTTATGGGATTGCTGCTGGAGAAAGACCGCAAAGATGTTGCAGTGGACTACTCTAGTAATTCCACAGTGGCAAGCATAGCTTTTGATGTGAGCCGCATCGCCATCGGACGGACCGGTCCAAGATGCATGATCTACAGCAACGACGCTTGCCCTCGTCATTCAGATCTCCCCTCTTGGGCCCCGAACTGGAATTACTGTCGATCGGAGAGTTTTTGGGCTTGGGACGACGTCTATGATGCTGCCAAAGGTACAACCTGGACTCCTAAGCTGCTCTCCACATCATTCACGAATCCAAAACTCGAGTTGAACGGCATACTAGTGGGCCATATCACACAAGCCTGGACATGTGACACCAGAGCTTCTCCCGGAAAGAAGCCGACCTTGCAGGATTACCAATTGTGGGAGTGCGAGTTTACCTCCGCTTTGCGTAAGGCTGAGGATGCAGCGCAGGTAGAGGCCGCTGAGGGCTTTTGCACCAGGCTGTGGTGGCTCGCGGTGATGGGCACTCCATCCTCGTGCCGTCGGCCAGTCACAGACTCAGAGAAGGAGCACTTACGGGCCGCACACGAAGTTTTTGTAGGAATTAAAGAACCTCCCGACTCTTTGCATGTTGACAGACGCCACGATTGGTATGAACAGAAAGCCATGTTCTACCGCAATGCTCTCAGATTTCATAAGTATCGCCCCTACGTGACTTCGCATGGACACCCTGGGCTGGGACAAGCAAGTATCCAGGTGGAAGATAAAGTGGTTATATTTCAAGGATGTTCTGTGCCGTTCACAATACGTCGAAGCGAAGATGGTAACCACCATTTAATTGGACCGTGTTACGCTTTGGGTATCATGGACGGGGAAGCAATGGAAAACAGCCAGGACTTCCAAGAAATTGTTCTAGTTTGACTGAAATGATGCACATTCAGAATAATTCTTCAGTTAGTCGTCGTAGAAAGACAACCGCTACAGGATAATTAACAGCCGTGAGGCAAGCTATGCCTTGGCAGTCTTGGCCGTATTTTACAGCGAATCGCAATCAGTAGTACCCGAGAGGTCAAGCCTAGGCCACCTGTGCCGTACGCCAATGGGTTCGAAGGATTCGAAAGCTACACCACGGCCGTAGAGGGCAAATCACACGAAACCTCATCGAACTGAACGGTCAGCATTTTAGTGGATACTCTTCTGAATGAAGATTGATTTAAACAACATCACTCTCGCTCATCCGTGGGATTGTTGATGTATTTCCTTGACTCCTTTGATCCCCTTTTGCGTCAAGCGCATGATTGAATTTATAGTGTAAAGATCTGCCCAGAATGACGACCAAACTGACTGAGACGGAGGCTTACGCTCAAGGGCGCAATGCTGATGCTGATGCCATTCCGACAGCCGAGACGCTGACAGCTGTCTGGGAACTTCCTGTTCGTGATCGAACAGGGAAACGAGTTCCATTCAGGGATGTGGTGGCAGGACCAGATGCCGCACCTCGCGTGCTGGTCATCTTTATTCGACACTGGTTCTGTCCTGTAAGTTTGCACAAATGGGTCGGGCTTAGATTTATCATAGAATTGACCATGAACAACAGGCTTGTCAAGGCTACGTTCGAAGGCTAGCTACCAAAGCCACACCAGAGGTGCTTAGCTCCCTGCCCATCAAGGCCTCCATAGCCATCATCGGGAGTGGTAGTCCGGAGCTTATCGATCATTGGGTCAAAGAGTCCGCTTGCCCGTACCCAGTCTACACTGACTCCTCGATCAAATTGTATAAGGCATTCAAGTTCCTCCCCGACAAAGGCCAGGGGAACGATTCCGAGTACCATGATCTGTCCCCTCTCCAGGGCTTTCTGAAGTCCGCTTCGCAGATTATTCGGATGCCTCACAGACTTCACCAGGGCGGTCATCCCTTCCAAAACGGTGGCGAGCTTTTATTTGAGCCCACATCATCCGGTGGGATTGGGAATAAGCATATCACGTGGTGTCATCGCATGCAGCATGCGACAGATCACGCAAAGTTCGCGGATGTGTTCAATAAGCTTGGCATCAAAGATGACCAGAGCGCCGTAGGTGCAGCATGAAATTTGTTGAAGACTTTGGGTAGTCCTTGATGTTTAATTCCATGTGCACAATATGCAACTGCGCCGGCGATCGCAGGCGTGAATTCAAGTGTTCGGTGATACTTGCTATTTGATTGGAGAGTGTGTAAGAAGAGGCATGTGGTAAATCCAGTTATCTGTGGCGCAAAGTCTGAACTGCCTCCTAGTGCTATCCAGAATACGAATCAGAAAATTCCCGTCCTCTATTCGCCTTGAATAACGCTTTGATACGACATTCTCCCTTCAGTTAGTGCGTTCTTTTTAGATTGTGCAGCCAATGCCTTTCTGTAATGCATGCTCATTGATTTGATCCTGATTCTCAATTTCGACCCAAAGTTCTGGAAGGAAAAGAGACGAGAAATCTGAATCGGTAGAAGCAATTCTGGCTGTTTCTAAATCTCTCCACATGGCCTCCCAATGGATTGCAACCTCCGAATCACTCGCTGCAAAAGTTTCTGGGTCGAGATACGGTGATATTTCTCCTGCGGAAACCGTCCTTTCTAGTGACAGTCTTTGCTCAGCTGCTGAGATGTCAAATATCGTGTCGCTGCACGATGAATCTCTATCTGTTGAGAATAGAGACGGTGACCGCGCCAATTGGCCTAGCTGTAAAGTTGCGACAGGGAGCATACTAAGCCGTTGAATTTCTTCGGCCCTATGACTTTGCACGGTTTTTATTAGGCTTCGCAAAGGTGGCTGCAATAGCTGTGTTCTAGAAACGTCGGCGAATGTACTGAACATCCTTTGAACCACAATCCAGGCGTGTTCACATGTCGGTCCCCAGGGATGACTACACAGCTGAACAAGAAGAATCGAAATTGCAGGCCATTGCACTTGGTCGTGGAAGATCCATCCCCATTTGGATGTGGCTGGCTGTGTCACCAGTGCAAGGGTCCTTTCGAACCCGGCGAGTGCGGAGAGAAAGAATTTCTGCTTCCGGGCACAAGTTGCGGTGCGAACCTTGGCAATGTCGCCGAAGAGCTCCCTGTGATGGATTACAAGGTAGTGGTCCGCAAAATTGATATCAGCGAACGACTTGATGAAAGGATAGATCGGCTTGTCAGATTGGGAGTTTTGCAGCCAGTTCCTAGCTATTCTTGTCCTGGACTCAACAAGAACATCGAGCATCTTTTCTTGTTTGGCAGAATTTGCAGCTTGCTGTGACCGAAGCAGCGACATGACCGACTGTATTCGGCGACTCGACCGCCAGAGTTCACATTTGATCAGGCAAGGAGTCAGGTCTGTAAATCCTGTGCGAGACGCTGGTATGGTGGTCATCTCAGGATAAATGTCTGCATCGTTCAAGTTGGCCGGCTCTTGGGTGTCGAATATGTTCTCAGATATGGAAACCTCGGAGACCTGGCAATCTCCTACTTTGGAATCAATGAAGCAGATGTGCCACCACACACGACGTCTCATCTCGACTTGAAAAGGGGAGAGTTCCGCGAAATGCGAACCATCTCGATGAAGGCCCATCGATTCTGCAGCTCGAATCAGCAGTCCGGTTAATGACCAAACAGCTCTCATCCCCTTTTTGCGATGCATCGTTTCGAGGTATATCGTGAAGGCCTGTATGACGCT